AAGGCTTTTTCAAGCAAAAATATCAACAGTGCATGGGAATCTGTTGGTTTAAACCCTTGGAATCCAGAGGTTGTTTTAGCGCGCTTCACCAGGAAACAAGACGAAAGACCCTCTTCTAGTGAGTCTACGCAATCTGTCTTGAAGGCAGAAGACTGGCGTCGCATTGAGAAGCTTCTGGAGCAAGTTGTTTCTAATGTTTATGATGTCAAAGTGCGGAAACTGCATGATACAATAATGCATCTTTCCACGGAGAACATCCTTGTCAAAACACGCTGTAAAGGCCTAGAAAATGCCCTACGAAATGAGCAGAAGAGGCGACAGCGTGGGAAGCCTTTACAGCTTCAACTTCAAGCACCAGAAGATGGGAATGCCATCTTTTACAGCCCTAAGAAGACTCAACAAGCGCGGGGCCTTCAAGCAGAGAAGGAGGAAACAGCACGCCTTGCTAAGGTTGCCAAGGGGGAGGATAAGATACGCAGGCAGCAGGAGAAGGAAGAGAAACAACGCTTAATTGAAGAACGAAAAAGAACAAGGGCTTTTATTAAGAGTGTGCGGATACAGGAAGCAGAGGAAAAGAGACGCCAGAAAGAAGAGGAGAAGGCCACAAAACAAGCTGCTATGCAGCTTCAAAATGATATCAGGCATGCTAATAAAGAGACGAAGAAGGCCGCAGTGCCGAATACAGCAAATAAAAAAGAAGCTATTAAAAAGAAAAATGTGGAAGAAGTGGAAGAGGGACCTATTGCTGTAAACAGTCGTGGAAGGCAAATACGGCTTCCGTATCCCCAGCGGTTTCGCAACATCAAAAATTAGCTAGATATCTTTTTCATATATTGTATTTTATTCCATCAAAAAATTCAATCATTTTATCATTTCGTTGTGGCTGTATGGCTTTATTTCTATACTCTAGTTGACCTTGAAAAACGTTCGTCAGGTGAGACCGTTCGTCAGGTGATCGGGGACGGTAATCCACCACCGAGCCGATCACCCCTTTCGAATTCCACCAGACTTCATATTTGAAACTATTCAAACAGCCACTATGCCACCAAAACCGCGTAAAACATCAAAAAACTTGGTGGAACAAGAGGGAAGGATTCTCTTAGCAATTTCTGCTTTAAAGAAGAAAGACATTTCAAATATTCGTTGCGCAGCTGCTGTCTTTGATGTTCCTTATACAACTCTCTACGGTCGAATCAATGGATGCAATTATCGGACTGGGAAGCGCGCCAATGGCCATAAAATGACTCTCAATGAAGAGGAATCAGTCTTACAATGGATTCTTTCCATGGATCAGCGGGGATGCCCTCCTAGGCCTTCTCATTAACATGAAACGGCCAATATCTTGCTTGCTCAGCGGGATCCTACCTCCCCTCCTACTATTAAAAAGAATTGGGTCACCAAGTTCATTAAGCGCGGCCAGAGATCAAAAGCCGATATTCGCGGAGATATAATCACGAGCGAGCGAAATGCGAAGATCCAAAGGTGATCCAAGAATGGTTTGATCAGCTCCATGAGGTCATATCCCAACACGGAATACTGGAGGATGATATCTTCAATTTCGATGAAAGGGGCTTCGCAATGGGTCTGATTGCAACTACTAAGGTAGTTACTAGATCTAATATGCCTGGGAAACCTCATCTTTTACAGCCAGGTAATCGTGAGTGGGTTACAACGATTGAGTGTATCAATGCGAAAGGCTGGTCTATCCCTACCTGTATAATCTTCAACGGGAAGGTTCATATAGAGGGATGGTATCAAGACTATGCTTTACCATCTGATTGGCGGATTGAGGTCAGTGAAAATGGGTGGACGACGGATGAGATAGGCCTTCGATGGCTTCCAAAAGTCTTTATTCCTGCAACAACGTCGCGTACAATTGGACGATATCGCTTGCTTATATTAGATGGTCATGGGAACCATCTAACACCTGCTTTCGATAAAGCATGCAGAGATAACAATATCGTGGCTATCTGTATGCCTGCCCATTCATCCCATCTCTTACAACCCCTAGATGTGGAGGATACAACTCTATCGACAAATTAGACTTCCTCAAAGCATATCCAGAAGCTCATGGCGATGTGTTCAAGCCTGGGAATATCAAGAATGGCTTCCTAGCGGCTGGAATTGTTCCTTTTAATCCAGAAAGGATACTTAACCAGCTTCATATTCGCCTTGATACCCCCCTCTTCTAGGGAGTCAGTCTTCAAATTCTACAATTGCAACACCTCATAATATCCTACAATTAGGCAAGCAAGCCTCCTCAATCAAGAAGCCTCTTAAGCAAGGATCTCACAGCCCATCTTCGCCTTCAAAACGAGCACTAGAGCAGCTTATCAAGGGCTGTGAGATTGCTCTGCACAGCGCAGCTCTTCTTGCAAAGGAGAATCACGATCTACGCTTAGCCAATGAGAAAGAGAAGCAGAAAAGGAAGCGATCCAGACGCCAGATGACTCCTAATGAAGGACTGTATACAGGAAGCTAAGGATCTTATCCAGGCAAGAAACGAGCAAGGTAATGAGGTTGGGGTCATCCGTTGATTCCGCGCCTTTACCTTTAGAACCCCCAAAACGCGCTCCACCAAGGTGTTCTAATTGCTTTATTATCGGACATACTAGAGTTAGGTGCCCTACACGCTATACTAGCTAGTTTCAATGAAAAACGCGTTGTTTGGTTGTGTTGGATAGCTTCAAATTATCGAGTCTTGTGGAATTCGAAAGGGGTGATCGGCTCGGGGGGTTTGATCGGCTCGGTGGTGGATTACGTTATCTTTCGAGATGCAATATAACAAAGATTTCTAGTTCTAAATCCAGTAGATATGCAGGCAAAGAGACTTTCAAACCTTTGAATGGTAATTCATATGTCACTATGTGGTCCCGGTCGGGTGCGAGGGCCCATGGGGGGCGGGTTAGGGGGGGATCTGAGTCAAAAAACATGAGACTCGAAACGTGCACAAAGACTAATGCCTTATATATATATAGAACAAAGCATCAGGAGCCCGTGTGGGTGTTATCAAAGAATAGGATAAACTAAAATAAGAAAAGACAAAAAAAAGAAGGCTAATACTAAAGAGCATCGCCTAAACAAATTAAAGATGTGGTGATATTTGAATAAAGTGCTAAGAATGAAAGGAATAAGGAGAGAATGCCCACAAGGGCCAGGTCTTCTTTATAGCATACCCATGACTCAAAAACCTCTTGTACGCGGCGAATTAAACTAAACTAAACCATAGTGTCTAACAATGACGTAGTGTAATACAGAATGCCTAGGCACGATCCTCGGGATCAATGAGAGGTTTTTGACGCCGGGCTTCTAATGCCTTCTTAAAATCACCTAGTACTTAACTGTCTGCGTCGGTTTGGTTATCATATCTCTGCTGGGTAGCATCACGATGAAGCTTCTTCCGGGATGCCTGGCGCATCATAATACGCTGATCCTCTTCCAGATCAGGATCAATCAGTCGATAGCCATACGTTCTGTGATTACGCTGACTGATGCGGTGAATACGGCCATAGGCCTGTTCCTCATCATTACTTGACAGCTGTGGCTCGAACAGAACGACCGTATTAGCTCGTGTGCAGGTGAAACCAACCGAAAGAAGTTTAGTAGTACCCAGGAGGATGCCGGGACTTTCGATTTCATTTCTTTGCTGCTCGGGCTTCTCGCCAGTCCCAAATTCCTGAAATAGATCAATCAGACACTGCCGGTTCTTGACACCAGCTAGCATAGCCCGAGGGTATTCCTCAGGAAACTCCCGTTGGATAGCCTGTGATCCTAGGTTAGTTATGCTCTTGTATCCGCAACTATTAATAATAAGGGAAAACGTACCAGCCAGAGGATCAGCACTACAACCGGGAAAGCGCTTATGATAATCATTTTCTTCGGCTTCCCGTCCTTGCCCTGCTCCCGGTTTCGGATAAGCCTGCATAGCTCAGCCCATTTAGTGGAATGTTCAAGGACACGATCGAGATTTAAAGCAAATGTCGATCTCTCTGGCTCAATATGCCAACCATTTCTAGTAATTTCATCTCCAGTCCAGACAAAATCACTAGGCCTATCTTGATTTTCGTACAGGGCTGCAAGACCAGGAAGGTTACTTGTCAAACGGAGGCGATATAGTGATCTCTTAAACTGGATGTAAGAGGAAGGTTGGGCACCTTGTGCCTGCTCCATGGCTAGGTTGCGTATACGTTCAATCAGAGCCTTACCGTCCTCTGTGAGTGGGCAGCTAATGTCAGTCTGGACATGTGGTGGGAGATCCATGAGAGGCTTCCCGTTCCATTGGCTCTCTGCAGTTCTGCGAATAAACCCAATAGTCTCAAGGATTTTGGCGAGGGCGCTTGAGATAGGCGAAATATCTGGTTCAGGTTTCGATTGCAATGCCATAAAATTCATCCCCAGTTTCTTAAGCTCGGAGGATTGGCAGTGTCGGTATGTGTCACTCTTTTCCCATGTCTCATCTTGTAGAACACTGACATAGGCGGCCAGATCGGCAGGGCTGCGGTCAAACGGGGTCCCACTGGCCATCCAGCAGGGAGGTCTTTTGAGAAGTGATTTCATGATCTTAGACGTTTGTTTCTCCCCTCGCTCCTCATGACACTCATCTCGAATCACACGGCACCAAAGATCAGTTCGTATCTTTTTGTACTTATCCGCACTCTTTGACCCACGACCTTTCCTTGGTTTAGGCACAGGGGCCCTGACGGTCATTGGTTCCTTGACCCGACCATCAAAGCTCCCCGGAGTGGTCAGAACCACGAAGCGCTCAATATCCGGAGGCAAAGTGTATTGATGATTATTATATCTCTGGATTGCATCGTGTGCACTCTCGTTGAGTTGCATTTGGTCATAAGTATTGGCTGCCTCCTCTTGGGCAAGTGCTTGGGCGAATATCCGTGCCTCTTGATATTGAAGGCTGCTGATATAGATCGTCATGGTTGGGACATTTGTGTTAGGAGTTTGATGTCCAAGAATAAGCTGCATGGCAAGACGCTCATTTACCAGGTCCACATAGTTATGCCATTCCTTTATCCAGTTGCGGATAAGTTTTTTTGGCACAATGATCAGGTTTCCGCCTCTCCACCGCGAGGTGAGCTCTCGCGTAGGGCTGTTGGGGACACATATGCAGCAGCAAGGAAAAGCGGAGGCACTAGGACATTCACTGGATTCAGTATCTTCCGGTAAATGTTTGCCATCACCGGTTCTGCGGGACCGCTCTACTTCTGCAACCATGATTTGAATCCACCTTCCCACGATGCAGAGTGTAATTAGTGTGACCGTCTAAATCAAGGTATAGGTGTTAGCTCTGGTGGTACTTCAAGATATGATAGGACTAGTTAGGCTTACCTTCCCAAGGCCCATCTCATCAGCAAGGAAGCCACCCCTACAACGCGACTGCTCCGTCTTAAGCATGTACCAGACGGCAAATGCTTGGTATGCGTAAACGGGTTTCCTCAGTCCAGGGATGGTAATCATATTAGGCACAGCCTCTATATCTTCGTATTTGAAAAATCGACTGAAAGCCGCGCAGTTCTCATCAGTAGACCGCTCCAACCGGTATGAGGAGCAAAACGTGCGCAGCCTTTAGTAAAATAGTAAGTATATACATATCATGAGATACTAAATGTTGTTCATGAGCCTTACTTTGTTCCAAGCTTATCTGTGTCATGGTCCTCTTCTTCTTCCTCGTCATCGTCACCCGTAGGCCACTCTTCACTGTTGGTTGACGGCCCTATTTAACAATTAGTGATTGCAAAACCCTCATCATAGGTGGACCTCCTTGAAACCACTTCTTCTGTAGTAGGCGAATCGCGTGATCCCTTCGTTGGGCTATCACCCGTACCATGAGGTGGGTTGTTTTTCTCATCTGTATCACCCAGACCCGTACTCTCTTGCCCGGTGTTGCGTGGAGGACTGCCCCCTTGAGTTTCACTGCCAGATGGTATGTTCTGATCATCAGGGTTAGCACAGTTATAAGAATTCTTATTTGCACCCACCTCAAAGCTTGATTCGCTCCCAGTTTCTTCATCAGAGGACTGACTATCAGAAATGCCTAGAAGCTCCTTCATTGTTGCATGCTTCTTGCGTTTGCGGTCAGGGTCTTCATCTGAGTCTGACCAACTCAGAAATTCCTCCTCCTCATCATCATCTGTCCTAAAACGCTGTTCGCGTTTGCGCTTGCCTCCTTCATCTGACCTAGGCCGGTCAGAAGTAACCCAACTCTCAGTCTCTACTGTTGTTGAACATCCTCTATGGGGGCTGACTTGTTCACTAAGTTCAGGACTGCCTGAAAGGACCTTAACCACATCAGGCATTGCAAGCGTTTGGGTCCCTAGATATGGTAAGCCCCTAATCCCAAATAATCCTGGCCAGAAAAACTCACTAGGTGCTATGTTCAAACAAAACCGAATCTCCGGATGCATCAGGGTTATGGCGCCCTCGAAACCGTCATGGTTGGTTATGAAGAATGATTCACCCTTATCTGACCAGGAGAGTACATGGATCCCATTGCTGTAGCCGTAACGGCGCACCAGTATTTGCTTGAACACCTCATAGTCAAGGTCACGGGTGCTAATGAAGGCATTTTGTTCTCCGCTAGTCGTGAATTGATAGAGCGCAAAGGCAGCATTCTGTCTTTGATCAGGGATATACTCGATGACCACCCGGCAGTCACGGAGGCCTGAGCCTTCTACAATGTCATCAGATACGTGACTGCTCCCCCGCTGAGAAGGCCTCTGGCGTCTGCCCTTGGACTGTTCTATATTGAGCGCAATAAGATAGAGTGCCTGAATGACATCGTCCTTACACTTCCCGCCACCGCGGGCTGCCCGTTGGACAAATTCTGGCAACCTATCAAGGATCTGGCCGATATCACGCTTCAGCCTTTCCACTGCTGATTGTCCGTTGAAATTGGTATCAAGATAATTCTTGCCATCAGTGGTGAGAATTTGAGTAAGCTGATCCTGCACAGCTTCCCTATCCGCTGCAGAGCCAGGCTGTGGAAAGCAAGACCAGATCTTTGCAAGACCTGCTCCTTTTGGGATAGACTGCATGGTTACCGTACAAGTGGCCTAATGAAGAGATCATTGAATCAGTCTGTGTCTTAATCATGGATTAGATGAATGGATGACATACCGTACACCGTCACCGTAAAAAAGTAAGCCAGCGGGAATTGTGTACCCGTGTCGTCGAGACTGGATGATTAAAAAGAACAACAGCGGAATGTTGCTATGAGAATTGTCAGGGTCTTAACACGCAGATTGCATCTAATACCAACATATTTAGGATAGGAAAAAGGTCAGGGGGTTGAGTCAAAAAATTCAGACTGGTCAAAGAAGACTGTGCTATGACATCTGGTTAGTTAGCGGTGTTTGTCCATCCTGACCAGATGGGGACATACACGATATTTTTTTGTGTTTCCCTCATGTTGGGAAGATGCGCGTGGCTTGGCCGGCTGGCCAGGAAACAAAGACTTATTCACTCCTACACACCGTCGGATCTGCCCCTTCATCATCCTGGTGGTTCTTGCTGACCACTGCAAACATATGCTACAGCATCATTTTTGCTGGTGTCATTTTTTGCATTGACATCAATACACCTGGTACATCAACACTGCGCGGCTGACGTCTCACCTATGCCTTTACCTCCTCTCACTAGATCATCACTGCGTTCAGGGGCCCTGCCGCGGCAGAGCACCTTTATAATTCAAACTGCTAACTCTCTATCATCTTGACTGTTGTGTACTTCCGTATGTTTTGCCTGCTATGTTGGAATCCACATAAGACAAAGAAGTGCGGGCTTTTGAAGGTCAAGCCCTGCAGTGGCAGGACACGGATGAAGGGTATCAGGCACTATATTGTTGAGTCCAGATCATTGAATCCACATCTTCAAGTCCACATCACTGAGCCCATATCATCGAATCCATATCATCAAGTCCATATCGTCGAGAGCCTGTGTTTCACTCATTTTTCGTTTATCTTTCATCTTCCTTTCATTTTCTCGTCACTGAGTAATCCGATGATTTAGTGCCGACGAGGGCGCCGGCTATAAATGGGAGGGGGGAAGACACCTGCAAACTCAGACCTTGATTCTCCCCAACATCATCTTCGGCTTCATCTATCAAATAGCGTTAGCAGAAGTCAGGTGACCTCTTTATTTATACCACTGAGCAACACAAACACATCACATTCCCTCACACAACATCAATGTTAAGTGTCATAACTTACGGGCGTCTCTTACTCCGCCTCGCCCTACGCGTCCAGTCGCGTGGCTCAGAACCGCACCCGACATGAAGGGCCCCTACAAGCAGCTCTTCAAGAGTCCACGGATGCCGCCGCAACCACAGCCACAGAAGGACAGAAAATCTTCAGTCCTATTGCAGCATTCCTGGATAAGCACCGCGCTCAGTCCTCCAGTCTTGCACCGCACCTGCAGAGAGCTCTCGCCCTCTTGAGCAAGGATCTTGCTGCAGTAGCACAACGCCACTTCAATGCCTTTATCAGCGGCATAGATGTAAGTGAGGTCTGCAGCCCTCCTGCCCTCGCTGTCTATAAGCCCCCTTCCCCCCCAGCCTCTCGCCCGCCCTCCAGCCTGGATCAGCCAATCTACGCTGCGGCTGCCTGCCTCTCCACCTCAAGCAAGCCAATTCCTAAAGCGAAGAAGCCAAACAACACCCAAACCTCAGACAGGCAGTCCAAAAAGACCGCACTCTCTGCTAAGCCGCCTCCCCCAGACAACCGCCTCTTTATCCGCCTACCAGACGGTCATCCAGCTAGGGGCATGCAGTCCTATGCAATTTACTCCAGCCTTCGAGCCGGACTAGGCCCAAATGGCGCCATGCTTAAAGAAGTGCAGTCTATAAGGACTGGCTTTGCCCTGTGCCCCTCTACTCCTGACAATCTCTCCGCCTTGGAAGCTCACAAGGAGACTATCTCCTCCTTTTTTGGTGAATGCCGAGTAGAACACAGCTCACACTGGATCTCATATAGAGTGACAAACGTCCCAAGGACCATTGGGCAGCTTGTCCAGAACCAGCATTCCCTCGTCCTGATGAATCCAGGGACTTTATAGTTACAGCAATTGCTGAGTCCACCGGCCTCAATCCCATCTCAGTCACTGAAACCGCTGCAAGCGCTGCCGACAAGTACTCTCCCTC